TTTCGATCATGGATTACAAAAAAAAACAAACATTTCGATCATGGATTACAAAACATTCGATCATGGATTACAAAAATTCTATCATGGGTTACAAAAAAAAAAAAACAAAAATTCTATCATGGATTACAAGAAAAAAAACAAACATTTCGATCATGGATTACAAAAAATTCGATCATGGATTACAAAAAATTCTATCATGGGTTACAAAAAAAAAAAATTCGATCATGGATTACAAAAAAAACAATTCGATCATGGATTACAAAAAAATCGATCAAGTATTACAAAAAAATCTATCATGGATTACAAAAAGAAAAAAAAAATTCCGTACGGGACTCGTCGATTCGCTGTACGGACTCGCCAATTCCGTACAGCGAATCGGCGAGTCACTGTACAGAATCGTCCGATTCTCTCTAGAACTGGACGATTCCCGTTTTTTTCGCCGATTCGATCCGTCCATGACGATTCCCGAGTCGAACCGGGCGAGTCCGGTTCGACTCGGCGTTTTTTTAAACACCGACTTTAATAAATACAATTGAAATATTTAGTTGTCCAAAAAATTACGACCAATAAAATTTCTTCCTGAAATACAGTCTTTGTCCTAGGTATGTTACAAGGTCCCAAGATAACATACAGAAAAAGCAAAAACAAATAAATTCCTACATACATCTAGAAACCGTCATTTTCCAATAGAGATCTCCAACCCTTTAAGAAAACTTCCTATAATGTTAAATTTTCAACTTCTGATAGAGATTTCTAATCATTATGAACAACCCTATAAAATCAAAAGGCACGATAACTTTTTGAGCAAGTGTTAATAAAAGACAAAACGACTTGTAATCGAAGAAAATTAAAAGGCAATTTAGATAAGAGAAAAATTTTAAAAAAATGAACTTATTTAGTCTTTTTTTGTCTCTTTTGCAAGTGTGAATTTATAATATTCTTGATAACAAATACAGGTGAAAGATGAGGAGTTCCAGTCAAATCAAATACTATTGAATATATTTCATATTTGAAGTAACTTAATATTAACTATTAGGGAGATTCTCTATTTTATTTTTTTTGAGAATGTTTAAAAAATGTTTTAATTAATGGCCCCCACAAGCAATAATTGGCCCCAACTGCACGCTGAGCATGTGCTCAAGCATGAGCATTAAAATGTTACTAATGAGAATGGAACTCAAGATCTCTTGTAAAGAGATCCATTTATGTAAGGGGGGACTAACTACCGTGCCAGTTTACTTTTACTATTAGAGAGATTCTCATAACTTATAACCTATAATATATTTATTTTTTTTAAAAAAAAAGGAGTTCTGGTCCGCGAAGGAGTGGTATTTCGTAATTTAGCTGTAAGAGTGTATCACTTGAAAGGCCAATGTTTTAGGAAATATTACCTATCTCCATGAGAATTAATATGATGAATACAACATTTTGAGTTTCTTAGGTACACCTCCACCTCATTAATGCATGTCTGAGAGAATTATAAGTTTGGAAGGATATTTGCTTTTGCAAAGGAAAATTAGGAGTCCAAATTCAACACACCGAGTTCTGCAATTATGTTGGAGAGAAAGCATGTCATGACAGAAACCGTATGAAGCATCTCATCGAGATTCCATAACAGAGCCAGAAAACCAAGAAAATTAGAGTTTTAAGGCTACTATAATCCCAATAATCTCTAAGCCAATCCCTCAAGTTTCCAACGCAATAATCAGAACTAAATTGAATCTTCTAGAATAGAGGTTAAATTTCTTAATCAGATATTATTGTCACTGACAAGTAATTATACAAATAATAAGGAAATATTAAAACAATGCATCTTTATCTACTTAAAAAATAGTAATATCCAGTAAGAGTTTAAATCGATTGAGGTGATCGAAGAAATTGTACCAGATGATTCTTCCAACCTTCGAAGGAAAGCTAATTGCAGCAAAGCACCTGTAAGTATCCACAATATAAGGCACTCATAGATAGGCAATCCTTTTGAAACTGTATGTGAAAAGCCATGCATTCAAAAGGAACATGCGATGCATCAATCTTCATTTTATAAATGCTAGCATAAAAGTAAATTATGATGTCATAATTACAAAAGACTACGAAGTTCTAATGAAATGATCTATTGCCAGGGCCCTTTTCCAACATCCCACCTAGCAGTTTTTGCATTTAAAGAAGACTTGAAAGCAACAAGCATTGAAGCAAGAGACTGAATGCGACCAGATAAAAATATCTAAAACAGAAGATCACATTCCCGGCATCCTTAGATTGATCTAGAATAGGTGTAGGCCACACTGCTCTTCATAGATCATCATCTGTTATTACAACTTACAACAATGATCGGCTTTTTGGTCAACAAAATATGCCAACTTGGCCAGATTGTGATGCAATCATAATACTGTGATACTAGTGTCCAAAAGGCCAAATTTATAGCTTAATCAATCATATAAAATTCTCCATGGATCATTGTTCTGTTACAGCAACAATTAACATATTAGCCCACATATACAAATGTAAAATTGGTTGAAAGTTGTTACTGGGGCAGCCACATTACCACAATATGATGCAATCATAATCCCTGTGAAAGTAGAGATATTACTGATACATATGGATTTTGGATCCAAAAGGATAAATTTATTACTCGAACCACGATAAAAAAACCAGCACTATGCCAGAATAAGCAACACATGAGTGGATTAACCTCAGTAAATTGAGTCTCACAGGGTGCATCAAAGCTTTTTAATTCCTAGTACATGTGGGCAGTTATAGGGTTATAAAAATATTTACTGCCATTCTAGTGCTTTTTCTTTTTTTCTTTTTTCTTTTCTTTTTTTTTTTTTTTTTTGTTTTTGGGTAAACGGATGTGAGCTTCAAACATTGGATAGTCTGTTGAAAATGTCAACATTCAACACCATAACCAATGAAGCCAGTGCTCAGAATTCTGCCCCACAAGGTGAAATTTTGCTTATATTGTTTATTAGTTTCCTAAGAAATTATAGCAAATTTATGGCAACTCATGGAAGTAAATTGAAAAATTTTAGAATGTTATAAGCAAATTGAGGGAGACAAAATCCAGCATGATCTAGAAGTAGACCTCTTAGGTTTAGGTACATTTTCTACCCGAAAGACAAATTTCAGACAGAAAATTTTTATTTGAGGATAACTAAAGCCAACCCTTAGTGTCTCCCCAGGTCCTCTAGATGTCTGTGATTTGACAACGGAGAAGGCTTTCGCTCTCCTCATGGTGACTTGCACATTCCCGATGGGTCAACCCATTGGAAGTTGCTGCAGAATCCATGTAATCATTCAGCAACTGCAGGAAAATTTACAAAATTTTACCTTCATATTCGTGCAATTAGTTGTTTAGGAGACTTGGTTCTCTCAAAAAATTTAAACGGGGAAAAATTAGATCTGTAGAAAGGCTCATCTGCATTCCCCTCTAGGGTAACTTACTCTCCCTCTCCTATCACAGTTATGTATTCAAGTTAAATATGATAGCAGCGATGCCATACTTTGTGCAGGCACCAATTATCATTCGACAAGGTTAAATTTGTGCATCTCAACAATGTCAGTTGTCCTATATAAGTTAGTTAGATCTTAAATTAGACGAATCTCACATGTTGTTTTGTCCTTTTAGAACTCTATAGAAGAAGCTCTCATGGTATCATCCCCATCCAGGGAATCTAAAATGTTTCTAATAACCAAGTTTGGTACTTAAAAATCAATAAAAGTTAAGCATGCACAGGGATCAATTGCTAAGTTTGCTCAAAAAAGAACTGCAGAGAATTTTATAACGTTCCATCCGACTTAAAATTATAGTTTACATACAATAGGAAATGGCCAAGTCCACATGATTAGACTCTTGGTATAGATTAATCCTACAAATAGTCACAGTCCGACCCAATTCAACATGCCCTAGGATCTAACAATTCATGCTTGACCAAGGCCACACAAAAAGTAATCTTAAACCTAACCAATGAACTACGGTGGTTTTTCAGAAACACAAACGAACCTGTAGGAAAGTGTCAAGTGAGACTATCAAGTTTCGAGTAGTCATCTTGGGCTGATGCATATGCAGCATTGAAACGGAGTAGTCACCTTGGGCTGATGCATACGCAGCATTGAAAGGAGTTCACATTTTGACCAATGAATTCCATGAAGTGGCTATAACCCATAATGAAATTTGCACCCTATGGTTGTCAGCCATGTACGTAGAAGCAAATGCAATACGAAACAATTGGACTGACCCGGAGTTTTTAGGGCAAGTTTAGTTTTTTACTTCTTTTTTTTCTGTCACACTAGGAGCTAATTTCAGAGCACCTATTCTGTTTCTATAATTTTAGTTACATAAGTCACTACTTAGTACTCATCAAATAAAACAGAAGAATCAGTTGAAAATATTCATGAATTCCATATGCTTCATATCCAGAGGACATTAAACATCCCTTTTTTCAGTAAGAGGATGAAATAAAAGATCTCAAATGCTATTTTACCCCTTATAAATCAAGACTCGTAATTTTAACCGTCATTGTACATATAAAAGCTCTCTCCACTTCTTAGCAACCTCCAAAGACTTCTCAGAAATGGCACAAACAAATTCATCCCAATAAACCGATCGTGTCTGCCATCTCACGCAAAGAATTTCTTTCTTCAATTCCAAGAAAGAAAACCAATCACCAAATTTCTCGAATAAGCAAGCAAACCTACAAAGTATAGTTTGCCATGAATAAAAACATGAGGAATGAAGGGAAGATTCATTCACAGAGCCCTCAACTCACCTATTATCATGCCCACTGTAACAAAAGTGAGCAGCCCGAACACCATCTTCACTCCACCCATGGCAGCCACAAGAAGAGGAGGAGGATAAACAAATAACAATGGCCTTTTCAATTCTGATTCTCCTCCAAAAGCTTGAGACTTGAGTATGATACACACCTAGAGTTCAGCAGACATGAGACTAAATGAGAGAGACGAATGGAAAGCGCTTCATTTAGGGGGAAATTGTTTCATGCGGGCTGGACTGCATTTCTACATATGCGGTTCTGAAAAAGTGTAAACCATCCATCTTAAATATGGATGGACTGCATTTCTACATATGCGGTCCTGAAAAAGTGTAAACCATCCATCTTAAATATGGATGCAAGCAGGTGATCCATAAAAAAAAAAATTTACTTTTAGTTTTTAAAAATTATTTATTTTTTTGATTATATATTTTTAAAAATTAAGTGCATCTCAAAAATATATGTATTAAGAGGCTTTGCATTTCTATATATGCGGCCTTGGCTGCATAAAAACCGGTACCATTTAATGAGAGGGAGCGAATTGAATAAAAAAGGCGCTATATTTAGGGGCGCATGAGAGAGAATTGAATGAAAGGCCGCTATATTTAAGGGCGCATGGGTGGGTTCACTGCGGCCGCAACGCCCCTGGTTTTGCGATGCCGGTATTTGCCGTGAGTTGAAAATAGAGGGGAGTTACGCTTGTCCGTTACCCTCCACAAACGCAAACACTATAAAATTCTATATGATACACAAGGTACATATGGTTTAGGTATACCCGGTGGTTTAGAAAACGGATCGGTGATCAGGGCACTTCAAAATCTATCCTGATCGGTGAATCGGCAATCCGAATTGAAAATCGATTGGATTAAGTTTTAAAAAAAAATCTAAAAAAATTATTAAAATTCATTATAAATGTTGTTTTTGAAGAATCCAACAAGAAAGCAGAATACTATATTATTAATTTTCATTTTTTTCATCAATATGTGAATATTTAGTTTTTTTCTCTTACCTATTTTAACAAAAATACTTGTATTTTTGAAAAAAATAAGAAATGAGTTTTTTTGACAAAAATATGAACTTATTTTAACAAAAATAACAAATGAGTTTTTTTGACAAAAATACTTGTTGTATTTTTTTTTTATAAGAAATTTTTATTTTTTATTTTTTTGACAAAAACCTTTAATTTTTTTTGACAAGAAAAATAATTGATAAGAACTTTTCATTTTTTTTATATGAAACTTTTTATTTTGTATATAAGAAAAAAAATTGAAAAAAGTGAAATTGATAAAAGCCTTTTATTTTTTATTTTTTAGAAAAAGACTTTAATTTTTTTTATAAGAAAAAAATTTGAAAAAAATTTTCATTTTTTTATACAAAACTTTTTATTTTATTGATAAGAAAAAAATAAAACAAAAAGTGAAATTGATAAAAACCTTTTATTTTTTGGATAAGAAAATAATTTGACAAAAAAAAAAGAGAACAAAAAAACCAACTCAAGAATCAAACCCGCATCCATCTCACATTGAGGACGCGCAACAACCAATAGGGCACTTGCAACTTAGTGTTTGCAAAATAGTTAACAAAAATATATAGTGTATGAACATTTTAAGGTATTACCTATTCACATAGTCCCACATAGAAGAGAGAGAAGAAAATTTATATAGATAAATAGTTCTTTGTACTCATTCTTCACAGCGTGTGTGAAGCAATGAAATTACACAAAGCGTGTGAAAGGGGTCCTTTTGCCTCTTTGAATTTTACAAAAATGCCCTTGACTGCGGGTCATCACACATGCGTGAAGAACTTAGGGTCACGCATGTGAACTTAGGGCCGCATGAAGCCTGCAAGGGGGGGTGTCCTTTTGCCTCGAAACGGGTCATGACGAACCGATGTCATGACGCGAAGAACCAGGCGAGTTATTGTGCGAACCCGGGCGATTTACTGTGCAGAATTGCCAATTCCTTTATAGAATTAGGCGATTCCCAAAAGAACCAAAATTCTTTGAATTTTACGAAAATGCCCTTGACTGCGGGTCATCACAGGTGCGTGAAGAACTTTGGGTCATCACACGAGCGTGAAGAAAGAACCGAAATTTCCTGAATTTTATGAAAATGCCCTTGACTACGGGGGTCATCACACGTGCGTGAAGAACTTAGGGTCATCACACGTGCGTGAAGAACTTAGGGCCGCACAAAGCGTGCGGGGGGTCCTTTTACCTCGAAATTCCCTGAATTTTAGGAAAATGCCCTTGACTGCGGGTCGTGACGAACCGACATCATGACTCAAAGAGAGACTGTGGGTCCTGACGTCATGAATCGAAGAACCAAGTGAGCCGACGTCATGACTCGAAGGACTGGGCGAGTTATTGTGCGAACCCGAGCGATGTACTGTGCAGAATTGCCGGTCCTTTCTAAAACCAGGCGATTCCCAAACGAACCGACATAGGATGACCGATTCCCGATTCGAATCGGTCGATTCCATGCCGACTCGGCAATTTTTAAGACGCTAGGTATACCTATATGCTTCGATCTTCATTGGCTAGATTCGGGGCTATATTCACCGTTTGTTAATGAGGTGAACGGTCGATGGCAGTCTACTTACACCATGCACGCTATAATTCACCGTTTGTTAATGAGGTGAACGGTCGACGGCAGTCTACTACACCATGCACGCTATATGCCATAGATGCTCTCCCCTATGATGAAAAAGAAGACGATGAATCTTGGGCGTGTACAACGCTTACTTCGTATCTGGACGAGTTGAGTTCGACCTTCTTTCGACCTGGAGCAACAAAGGAATCTTTTTTTTTTTTTTTTATGGGTGTACTTTGACAATTCAATCTATGTTAAAAGATCAAAGATCTCAATAATATATTACAAGATATATTATTTTCAAGGCTTAAAATCAATTTTCATATACATATATATCGAGGTTGAGATTATCTATTGGACGGTTTTTGTAGTGTCCGATCAATCTGTTTTGGTGGGTTTTTTAGGTGACCCTTACTTCTGGAGTATAAGGTTGACACTATATATAAATTTTTTTTTTTTGTTTTATATATCAGGAGGTTTGTATTAGGTACCCATCTCATGTTGTACAAATAGGGGGGAGCACCTTTAAATTTTGCCAAAAGATGTAGCTCCTGTGTTGAGAACTTTAAAATGGCTTGAAAATCAATATTTTAATTATGAAATTTGAAATTTAAAAACTGATGCACGTTGAGCATATCTATAAACACTTAAGAATCTTGAAAATAGATGGTCCAGATAACTGTTTACAATATGAACTATTTTTAGGAATCTAGTTTTTTATGTTGTTTATACCATACATCTAAAGGTCGAGATGAACATCAATTGCAAAGTTTTTCAACTTTGGAATACTCTTTTCTACTAAAATTTTGAGGTGCAACATATTTCTATGTAACATATTTCTATGACATAAGGTTGTAGCCTTATATAAACCTTTTCCTTTATAAATAAATACAAAGGATCATGGGAACTGCAAAATTTCTTAAGATCACCATCTGATGAAATGATGGACAGTGACGAAAGCGGGTGAGATCCATAAGAAGTCCATAACATAATTTGCATCCCCCCATCACTTTAATAGATGCTGAAGACCTCAAGCACAATATAGTTTCCCTATGGTCCTTAGTATGTGATTAAATTAAATCTGATTTTTAGTCTTTGATGGGCTGCAGATACTGGGTTGGGAATATATTGACTGATATAAACACAAAGTGAAAGAAAGAGGGAAAGACTAACATCTTGAAAATTGATTGATTCAAACACAAACCACAGGAAAAAGAGAAACCAAGCATCCATTGAAATGAACTCATCCAGCTTTATCTATATGGTCAAAGCATGAGCCATGAATCAAGTGCATTCAAAACTTTGAACAAAGACCCATGTTTATGGTCTAATTTATCTTAGTCTAAGTCTTAGACTACAGGAAAACCCCAATTCTAAAATAACATAAATAAAATCGCATATGAAATGCAATTTTACCCCTAAGATTCTTACCCTGACATTAAAAACTTTAAATGTCCATTTTTTTCCTTAAGTGGCTTTTTTTAGCAAAGTTAATAAGGAAAATTGGTGAAGCGAGCTTAAGTATCACAAAGTCCTATGATACATTTGAAATGAGTAGTCATAATAACGATTATGAGTTACAATCAAAAGTTATGGGCACTTGAAGGTAGAGTGTTAAAATCAGTACTGACCTGTGGTATGGTCCTAATCTGCCCTAATTTGTTGGTTTCATTGTCCTTACATCCTTTATATCTTGTAATTTGATATTTGTGATGACTATTAACCATATTCATTAAAAAAACATGTCATAGTTTGAAGCTTTTTCTTTTCTTTTGTGTGTGTGCGCGTGCTTTTTTTTTTGGTAAATCAATTCGTGGCTCATATTTTTCATTTTTGATGCTAATTTGAGTGTGACTATTATCTATGAGCTTGTAGTTCTTGACCTATTGTTGATTTTAGTCTAACCTAATTTTAGGGAATTTTATATATTTTTAGGTTATCTAGTTAAGATAAGGATGTTGAGATGGATGAACGGCAAAACAATAAAGGATAAAATTCGGAATGAATACATATGAGGGAACTTAGGAGTGGCTTTAATAGACAATAAGATGAGGGAAAGTACTCCATAATGGGCTGGCCATGTGTAGCATTTACTTAATACAACATTGGTTAGAAAGTGTGTTATTTGGTTCAAGTAAAAGGCCCTAAAAGAGCAAGGGGAAACTAACTTTAAGAGGTTATGAATTTTCAAAAAAATAGAACATGTAGCTTCCATCCCCCAAATGGAACTTTGATTATTTTGTTTTTCTAAGAAGTCCCCCTTTGGCCTTTTTTTTCACTTCCCATATTTTTTCTTTCTTTAACTATTTAACCATATCCTTTCCCTCTCGAAGTTCTCTTTGTGACCGTGTCTTTCGTATCTCAAACTCATCTCTCTCTGTCACACACAAACTCAAACTGTGTCATTTCTCTTGTTAACTCATTTTTTTCTTCAAATGTGCCATCTCTCTCTCTATTGCCTTTTTTCTCTCTATCTCTGCCTTTCTCTCTATCTCTGCCTACTATACCTTTTTAAATCTATGCCTAACCCTGCTTTTTCTCCCTGACCATGCCAATTTTCTCCCTAAATCCTTTCTCTAACTATGCATCTTCTCTCTCTAACTCCATTTTTTCTCCAATC